TTTTTTAGAGACTGACTTATTTCCTTAATTTATACGTCGAATATTATATTTAACATTTTGACTTATTGTTATCGAAAAATATCAGGAATATTTGGAATATAGGACAATAATTTCATGCAACTCTATCCAAAATTGTTTATTGCTAACGAAATGTTTTATCCTGCACATGTGTTTTCTTAAAAACATGTACGTTCTGCTATTTTCCAAATAACATTGCCACTTGCGTCATACTTTAATAACACCGTTTCTATTAAGTTTGAATAACGTTTGTTAAATAATGTATTTTATATTCAACTGAATATTTCATAGACCCATTAGTTTCCAAATTTAAAAATCGTAAAAGATTTTAAAAAAGCAAATGACAAATTATAATTGTTTTAGAAAAAAAATGTAATAAATCATTTATTTTAAATGTTTGATATATCTTTACTATTGATTTGTGTACCACCCTCCTATACAAAAGTACTTTATTGTTGGTCCCTTTTTTTGGTTACTCTTAAATGATAGGCTGACATTATATGCATGCAATTTTATAAAATAATTATGATAAATACAACCGATATATATATATTTTATTGAAATATTTTAAATATTGGGCAATTTTTTTTTTGTATTACCCGAAATTGTTTATTACTACCTTAATGTTTGCTCTACCTCACAGGTTTTTTGGAAACATGTATTGTTATGGTTTTTTACAAATAACAATACCTTTTGCGTCATACTTTAATAAAACTGCTACTGTATAGTCTGAATACACTTGCTAAATAATGTATATTATGTTCATTTAAATTTTTCACTGTACATTTTAAGATTGTGTATCGCAGTTTTCATTGTCTATCGTAGAAGTGTTTTTCAGTATAACAAGTTCTTTATTACATTATGCAGAAATCAACTATTTGTATTATAGTTTTCATTATTATGGTACTATCATTGGGTATGTCTTATTTGTATTTTTTTTTTTTACGATACATTCTCAGGTTCAATTATATAATCGTCAAAATTGTATGGATTCTAATTAAATGACAAATTGTATTAAAAGAAGTTAATTGCATGGAGAAATTATTTTCATTTAAAAATTATGTAAGCGAGTATGAATTTATATTGAAACATAATTTTGATGTTTAAATTTAGTTACACAAGGTCGACCGAGCAATCCTGGTATGTTTATAAATTATATACAGCTATACATTTTACATACAATTTTATACACGTTTTCTTTACACCTTGTATATTTTTACTAATTTATTTTACAACATGACCGTGTAGTAATATACACCTATAAGAAGATAACAATACCATTACAGATTACATTCCTTATACGTTTTGTTTTTGGAGTATTTACACGGTACCAAAATTAAACAAAATTATTTAATAAAAATAATGATTTATTTATTTTATAATGAAAAGTGAGAGCCCGTGATATATCAATAGAAGGAGATTCGACGGTGTCACAAGAGGAACAGGGTAATTTCACGTTGTTTTTTATTATTACAATCGCCAAAACGCCAAATACGAACAAACTTTTTGAGCACTACCGTGGGATTTTTATAGGTACTATAAAAATTGATAGAAAATAAGAGTTAAGAAAAAAGCTAAATATACTTTATACGACTATGGCTAAAAGAATTGAGAATAATTTTTTTATCATAATAGACATGCAGGGTAAGTCCGCGGGGGTTGTTCCGAAAGATCGTTCAAATTTGGTGTTTTAGCATATCTATATACAGGGTGAAAATTAAAGTTCTATCGAGCTTAATACAATAAATGATATAAGTATAATTTGATATAAACAAATTCTAAGGAATCCACTGAATTGAGAATAAAATTCTAACCTAAATTGATGTGTCACATGCCATATGTTGGTTTTGTTCACGTAGAGGCCACTCAGTGGTCACCTTGTGGACGTGCGTGTGGCCAGATACCAAGAAATCATGTTACATATCAATGCAACAAGATTTTATCTCCCGATTTCAAACCTGAAGTTATTTTGTTAACGAGACGCGGATTCTATTCTCAGTAATTTTAAAATTTTAAAAAAATGAATACCATTTATTGTACCAATAGAGCATCTTGAATGTGTCATTTGAAGCTCGGTTAAACTTTACTTTACACCCTGTATATATTTGCTTTTATTAATCTCCGTGCTTACTTATTTATATGTATACCGATTGATAATATTTCTAAAGAAGCATCCAATATTAGTCCTGACTTGTTATTTAGTTATTTCAACTAGAAATGTATTGTGCCCTATATTAGCCATGGTTTTAATTGAACCAACTTTGTATTTTTTTGGGTAGTAATTTAATCGCCTTAATTAAAATCACCTTAAAAAAAAGTGTCTTATCCTTAATGAATCATCCGTATAATTTTCATATGCATACAAAATATTTGATAAAAATAATGATTTATTTATGTTTTAATGAAAAGCTGAAAAAAAGAAAATAATAACATCAGACGAGTTGTTTAAGTTACGAAAGCACCATGGTAATTTCACGTTGTTTTTTTTATTATTACAAGCGCAAAAAAGCCAAACACGAACGAAATTTTGGAGCACTCCCGCCCTGAACTTTTTGAAACTCACTCTGCGTGTCTGTTCCAACGAAAATAATATATTTTCATAGACATGCAGGGTAAGTTTAAAAATATTCCGCGGGAGATTGCTCCGAATGATCGTTCATAATTGGCGTTTTGGCCCATATATATATATATTTTGTACATTTGCTCTTATTACTATTTATTATTACTTATTTATATTCACACTATCTGAAAATGGTAATATTTCTAAACAAGCATCCAATATTAGTCCTAATTTGTTATTTAGTTATTTCAACTAGAAATGTATGGAGCACCTTTATTAAGCGTACAAAAGTATTTAGTTGGACCAAATTTTTATTAACACAGTCAAACTAGAAGTGTAATGTGCCCTTATACATATTATCCATAGTTTTTGTTGGACCAACTTTGTATTTTTTGGAGAGTAACTTAAACACCTTAATTTATAGGTTAAATAATGTATTTAACATTTTTACTTATTGTTTTCGGAAAATATCAGGAATATTCGAAATATTTTATCAGCCAAATGTGTTTTTTAGAAACATGATAATATGTTCTGTTATTTTCCAAATTGTTTCTATATAGTTTGAATAACATTTGTTATATAATGTATATTATATTTATTTGAATATTTTTTTGACACATCATTTTAGACCCAAATAACCTCAAGCAATTACTAGGACTAAAAGTTCCGGCAACAAAAAAGCCCGACGGATCTCGTACATGTTTAGGCGAACCGTGCTGTCACCAACAAAGTAGTCAGCAAGGTAGTTTAAAAGATGATTTTTTTTATTGAAAAACTCTATGATTTATTGAAATCGAGATGAAAGAATCACTCAGTATTACCACTGTTAGACCAGATAGGTCTACAAAATTCATTAGGGGCTTACTTTTTTTTATGTAAAAGCTGCACCTAAGTACTAAAAAATCTTATAAAACATGATTCTTATTAAAACTTGTTTAACTTTAATTTTTATAAATACTATTATGTCAATTAAAAGTTTAATTAAACTTTTAAATTGAGAATAATGTATAAAAAATGTTGACTGATCAATAACCAGTTTTAGACTAACTATTTTTAAAGTTATAAGATTTTAAAAGTTAGGATGGGAGGGAAAATTTGGTTGAATAATGCGTGCAGATAAAAATAATACTGCACTCCATCTTTCCTACCACCTAAACTTGAAACGTCAATTACTTCAAAAATAGTTATCTGAAACTGGTTATCGACGAGTCAAAATTTGTATCCCATTTTTCTCAATTTAAAATGCTAATGAAATGTATGTGTTACCATTTAAAATAGCAAAAATTGGTGTCAAAAAAATTAAAATTGAAGGGCGTAAAGATAAAAAAAATTGTGTAAACTGAAATCAAATTTTATAAAAATTAATGAAAAAAAATTAATTTCTTATTAAACTCTATGATATATTGAGAGGCTCATGCTAAAAGAAGTACACTGTATAGTTTGAAAGGAAAGAAATCATTCTTTATCTTTTTCCGAGACAGTCGAACAAAAAATGGTTTGTCATACATATTTTATTAACTATTCTATAATAAATTTCGTTAAATGGATTTTCACATATTTCTCTATAGTATATATATAGTATAGACAGTAGAGTATATATATTTTTTTTAATTTAATTATTATTATTGTATACCATCAAATTAGATCTTTTTTTTATCATTGACCTTATTTTTCCTCGTTAATTTGTCAAACCCTTTCTCTAACACTATAAGTTCAAACCACCAGAAATACATGAGATGTGTTAATATTCATGAACTGGAATAAGTATCGTATCCCTCTTAACAGTTTTAAAATCGCGTAAAAAATGTTATACTTAAGACTATTATTTTTTTACATATTTACTATTAAAAATGTTTTATTGTTAAAAAATCTCAAATAAATAAAATATGTTATTTTTTTTTTGTATTCTAGGCTGGGATTTAATAAGATATGGTTTGTTTTTTCGTCACTTATTACTTTGTTTCATTTAATCTTATTTGCACAATTGAACTATGGTATAAAAAATATTCACGATAAGAGCTAATTTATCTTACACGTCTTAATATCTTGTTCTTTTATTTTAAAATGTTCGATTATTAATAGTTCTATAATCGAATATCTTTGAAACAATTTAAACAAGCTGTATACACTGTAATATAAATTATATTATTATAAAACACAATAAACTTGACAAAAAATTAACAGCTCTTATTTGAACTTTGTTTCGAAAATGTGACAGAACTCTACATTAAACTAGTTTAGTGTGATGTTATCATCAACAAATTATGTACCGAGGCATAAAGGTTAAAATAGTTGTGCGACTTCGATTAGATTACACCATTTTGTGCTCATTTAAAAATTTGCAATTATTAATTTTGATTTGTAATCTCCGTTTTATTTTGAAATATCTAATACTTTATTTGCTTAAAAGCTTGTGGAATTCCTCAGACAATAGAAACCTCCAACGGAGTTTATGTATGTCACTTCCCATGCCCGTGCAAATTAGGTAGTTATAACTTATATTTTATATATAATTTTTTTAAATTAAAAAATTAACCGTAAATATATTTGAATATTTTTTTGTCGCATATTTTTAGACCCAAAAAAACCCAAGCAAACAATAGAAATAAAAGTTCCGGCAACAGAAATTCCCGACAGATCTTGTTCATGTTTTGGTGAACTATCGTCGGATTCGATCAATCGCCAACAAGGTAGTCATTACTTATTTTTAAGAGATGATTTTTTTTTTATTGAAAAATTAAACGTTATTAATTTGGTAATTCATTTATATAATCTTAAAACATAAAATAGCATCGTTTAGCAGATTTGGTTTATGTATGTATGATAAGTATTCTTTTATCAGGATTAAGTTTTTACTTCTCAGTCTAACTAGTAATGGATTGTGTCCTTGTATTAACTACAGTTTTAGTTGAACCAACTTTGTGTTTTTTAGAGACTGACTTATTTCCTTAATTTATGTGTTAAATAACATATTTAACATTTTGACTTATTGCTATCGAAAAATATCAGAAATATTTAAAATTTTAGACAAAAATTGCATGCAATGCTAACCAAAATTGTTCATTTCTTATGAAATATTTTATTCGGCACATGTGTTTGTATAGAAATATGTACATTCTGTTATTTTTCAAATAACATTGCCATTTGCGTCATACTATAATAACTTTATTAACATATTACTCTCCGTGTTTACTTATTTATATGCAAAATTGTTTATTGCTAACGAAACATTTTATCAGCCAAATGTGTTTTTTAGAAACATGATAATAAGTTCTGTTATTTTCCAAATATTATTGTCATTTGCTTCATATTTAAAAAAACACTGTTTCTATATAGTTTGAATAACATTTGTTTTATAATGTATATTATATTTATTTGAATATTTTTTTAACACATAATTTTAGAGCCAAATGACCCCAGGATATCACCAAGACCGGCGATAGAAAAGCCAAAGCAAACAACAAAACCTGACGGAATTCGTTCATGTTTTGGCAAATCGTCATCGAATTTGATCGATCGCCAACAAGGTAGTCATTATTTATTTTTAAAAGATTATTTTTTTTTTTTTTAAACTCAACGTTATTAATTTGGTGATTCATTTATACAATCTTAAAACATAAAATAGCATCGTTTAGCAGATTTGGTTTACTATATTTTGGTCGTGATTGAAATGCAAGTACACAGTTTTTGTTCCCGCTGTAAAGACTATTGTGTTTTTGAGAATCTCATATTTACGTTTCGGTTAGGTTAGTGGAATTTGTAAACGTCCCTTTTATATATTACAGAAATTATTATTTTCTTCCAAGATAATTCCTTGACCGCATCGTGGAAACGTTACCTTGCTGTCCACGGTTCGCCGTATTAAAGTTCTAATGTTACCGTTTTAATTGTATTATTATTGTTGTCATTATATATTAAAACATTATATTTAATGTTCATTTTCATATATAATATTAATTTAATATAATAACGTTTTGTATCGTGCTTAGGACTTTCTGAGAGCGACGAAAAAAAGGCGTCAACCAAACCTAAATATCCGGTAAACTAACCTAATTGTCATATATATATATACAGGGTGTCATGGAATGTTTTACCGAACTTCAAATGAGACATTCAGGATGCTAAAATTATTTAAAATTTAAAAAAAATGAATACCATTTATTGTACCCATAGAGCATCCTGAATGTCTGATTTGAAGCTCAGTAGAACTTTACATGACACCCTGTAGAAATATATAGAGTTCTAATATTATAAAATATTATTCCTTAGGCATCTTTTGAAGGTATCAACAATCCTTATTAGTGACATAGGTAACATTATAAAAGTTAATTATATTTGTGCTATGATATATATATATATATATATACAGGGTGACTCTTTTATCATGAACCACTCAATATATCATAGGGTTTAATAAGAAATTAATTTATTTTATCATATTGTTTTTATACAATGTGATCTCGATTTTTCACAATTATTTTTGTTTTTACCCCCCACTAAACTTAGTTTTTTGATAGCACTTTTTAAGTTATTTAACGTTGAAGTATAGCATTTTTTTTTATCAACGCGGATTTCCCATACATAATTCCCCTTCCATCCTAACTTTAAAACTCTTAAAATTTAAAAATAGTTATCCGAAACTGGTTATCGACCAGTCAACATTTTAAGTACATTATTCTCAATATAAAAAGTAAATTAAATATATACGTTACCATTTAAGTTTCAAAAGTTGCTATCAAAAAAACTAAGTTGGGGGGGGGGGTAAAAACAAAAAAAATTATATAAAATTGAGATCACATTGTATAACAACATTTTCTTAAGTAAATATGGCAAGTATAAATGTTCCTTATTAAACATAGTTAACTTTATAAAAGTTAATTCTATTTAAGTTATGAATTAATAGTTTTTTTTTTTTGACAGAAAGGATCCAATGACAACAGTCCAAGTTACAAATATATATTTATATTCAGTTAAAAATACAGCTTGTTAATAAATATTAATATACAAAATTATATTGTGTAAACTATTACTATAACTAAACAAAAAATATGTATTTCACGAATTCATAATAAACTTCTAATATCTGGCAAATTTAAAATATCTTGTTTTGCATTAGTAGAAGTTCAAACTTGGTCGCTATATTTTCACCCGTTAATATTATTGTAGCTTTGTTCAAGTACAATGTGTATATGATTTCTTCATCGTTATAGCCTATATCAACAGTTTGCATAATCTCAAAGAGATTTGTTGAGATAATACGACGGATTAAATTAAAATATAATAATTGTTATTGGTTGAGGCGCTTTGAATGTGGCATGTTATCCTTTGACAATTGATTTGGTATGAAAACACGGTACGTAGTATAATCTTGAGAAAAAAGCAGCATGTACAAAGAAAAGTGTTCATAATTCTTAGTAAACTGATTTCAAATACACAGTATCTTCTTAAAAATGAAAAAATATAGGTAATAGACTCATTATTACAAAACAATAATTTCAAAAATATTAAGGATACTTATTACTAATAACTCATGCAGAAAAATTAATAATTAATTGTAATAAATAAAGTAAAAATTAATAATTTTAACAGTGAATATTTAGAAAATTATCTTCTTCATCTTTGCCTTATACTCTCAACTACACGAGGTCAGCCAAATATTTGAAATCAAAAAACTAATTTTCCTAATGTATAGATATTTGTAGATACTGCATATCTCTTTAGGAGTGAAGGGTAAAATCTATATTATATCTGTAAAAATGAGTAAACTCCATGGGTAATATCATTTATTTTAAATGTTTGATATATCTTTACTATTGATTTGTATACCACCCTCATAAACAAAAGTACTTTATTGTTGGTCCCTTTTTTTGGTTACTCTTAAATGGCAGGTTGACATTATATGCATGCAATTTTATAAAATAATTATGATAAATACAACCGATATTTATATATTTCATTGAAATATTTTAAATATTGGGCAATTTTTTTTTGTATTACCAAAAATTGTTTATTACTACCTTAATGTTTGCTCTACCTCACAGGTTTTTTGGAAACATGTATTGTTTTGTTTTTTACAAATAACAGTACCTTTTGCGTCATACTTTAATAAAACTGCTACTGTATAGTCTGAATACACTTGCTAAATAATGTATATGATGTTCATTTAAATTTTTCACTGTACATTATAAGATTGTGTATCGCAGTTTTCATTGTCTATCGTGAAGTATTTTTCAGTATAACAAGTTCATTTGTTCATTATGCAGAAATCAACTATTTGTATTTTAGTTTTAATTATTATGGAACTATCATTGGGTATGTATTATTTGTATTTTTTTTTTTTTACAAATACATTCTCAGGTTCAATTATATAATCGTCAAAATTGTATGGATTCTAATAAAATGACAAATTGTATTTTAAGTTAATTGCATGGAGAATTTATTTTCATTTAAAAATTATGTAAGCGAGTATGAATTTATATTGAAACCTAATTTTGTTTTTTTATATTTAGTCACACAGGGTAGACCATTTCCAAGTAAGTTTATAAATTATATACAGCTATACATTTTATATATAATTTTATACACGTTTTCTATTTACCTTGTATATTTTTACTGATTTATTGTGCAATATGACCGTGTAGTAATATACACCTAAATGTAGATAACAGTACCATTACAGATTACATTCTTTATACGTTTGTTTTTATAGTTTTTCACGGTACCAAAATTAAACAAAATATTTAATTAAAAAAATGATTTATTTATTTTATGTTGAAAAGTTTGAGGCGAGGAAATACCAACACTTGTAAATTAGGATATCTAATCATTTATTATTTTTCTATACAAAACTATGTAATTTTTTTGTTATTAAACAGTAATTATATTTGTGTTATTTGTTGGTTAGGTGGAAAAGAGTGGAAAAATAACCTTGGTAATTTTACGTTGTTTTTTATTAAAACAAGCGCCAAAACGCCAAATACGAACAACCTTTTGGAGTACTCCCCTGCAGACATTTTTGAAACTCATTCTGCGTGAGAATATTCTTTTCATTGTAATAGACATGCAAAGTTTCAAAACCGCTGGGGGTTGCTCCGAATGATCGTTCATAATTAGTGTTTTAACCCAACTATATATTTATATGCATACCATTTGAAAATTGTATTAAGTTCCTATAATAAGTCTGCTTTTATCATGAACGAATTTTAAATAACTCAGTCTATCAAGTAATGGATTGTGCCCTTATATTAATTACAGTTTTAGTTGAACCAACTTTGTGTTTTTTAGAGACTGACTTATTACCTTAATTTATATGTTAAATAATATATTTAACATTTTAACTTATTGTTATCGAAAAATATCAGGAATAATTAAAATTTTAGACAAAAGTTGTACGTAACGCTAACCAAAATTGTTTATTGCTAACAAAATATTTTATTCGGCACATGTGTTTGTTTAGAAATATGTACATTCTGTTATTTTCCAAAAAACATTGCCATTTGCGTCATACTTTAAAAACACTGTTTCTGTATAGTTTGAATAACGTTTGTTAAATAATGTATATTTTATTCATTTGAATATTTCATTGACTCATAAGTTTCCAACTATTTTTAATCGTAAAATATTTTAAAAAAGCAAACTAAAAATTAGAATTATTTTATAGAAAGAAGATTCTGATACTTAATGATCATTCTGTTTTCAACATTATACTTTTATTTGATATAACTTTACTATTGATTTGTATGTATACTACCCTCTTACACAGAAAAACCTTATAGTTGGTCCCACTTAAACTGTGTTTACTATAGGGACACATAAATATCCAGGTGATACAACTAAATAAATAGTTGGCCCAACTAAACATAAAAATTTAAAAATTGTTAAAGTTTTTAAAAAAAGCAAACTAAAAATCCAGTAAAGTAGGGTGGGGCTTAGTGGAGAGGGGGAGTTCACAGGTTTACAGGAATTTTTGTTAACAACAGTGATAAAATCACTTTTAAATAAACACTTTTTACATATTTGTAAATACAGCACCCTAATTTAATACTTTCTAACTTTGCTGGTGTACACTGTGCTTAGTTTGGACTGTGAAACTCACTCTTCGGGTCTGACCCAACAATAAGAATGTTTTTCGTCAGTTTTATTCAATTTTTTTTTTTGTTTATTTTGGTCCTGTCATGATTTGTATTACATGTCGGTTTAGATGACAAATTGAAGGATGTCAATATAGGTCAGTATAAACTAAGAATTTAATAGTTACCTATTGGATAATATATATTATATTTACATACATACATACATACAAGTACACAGGGTGATTATTTTATTATATATCTCTCAATATCTCATAGTGTTCAACAAGATATTATAATTTGTTTTTTATAATGTAATCTCAATTTTTTACATTTTCATTTGTTTCTTCCCCCTTACCAACTAAATTTTATTGATAGAAATCTTTGATACTTAAATAGTTAAGCATATATTTCATTAACTTTTTAAATTGAGAATAATGTACTAAAATCTTTGACTGGCTGTGAACCAGTTTTGGGCAGGTATTTTTAAAGTTATAAGGGTTAAAAGTTATATTTACATACATACATACATATATATATACAAGTACACAGGGTGATTATTTCAACCATTCAATATCTCATAGTGTTCAACAAGATATTATAATTTGTTTTTTATAATGTAATCTCAATTTTTTACATTTTCATTTGTCTCTTCCCTCCTACTAACTTAGTTTTATTGATAAAACCTTTGATACTTAAATATTATTGCATATTATTGCACTTCATTAACTTTTTAAATTGAGAATAATGTACTAAAACCTTGGACTGGTTGTGTCCAGTTTTGGACAAGTGTTTTTAAAGTTATGATGGGAAGGGAAGTGCGGTTGAATAGTGCGCGCAGTTAAAAATAATACTACAACCCACTCTTCCTCCCGACTTTAACTTGAAACCTCAATAACTAAAAAATAGTTCAGTCGAACGAAAAATGATTTGTCATACATGTTTTATAAACAATTATTTCATAATAAATATAGTTAATTGGATTTCCACTTATTTCTCTATATCTATATCTAAAAATTTTAATACATTTTTATAAGTAATATTTTTAAAAATGTTAATAATACTAGACCAGATAAGTCTGCATTATGTAGAAGCTGCACAAAAGTACTAAAACATCGTATAAAACATGATTGCTACTTATACTCGATTAATTTTAATTTTTATAAATACTGTTATGTCAATTTTAAGTTGGCAAACATTAATTTGATATGTATAATTTGTTGAATTATAGATGGCAATCAACAAATAAAGGGTTTTAAATGTATAGTATTGGCCGTAGAGTTAGTAGATGCCTAATGTGCAATTTTTCGTTATATTTAAACACCAAAAAAATTTTTAAAAATTGTTATCCGAAACTTGTTATCGACCAGTCAACGTTTTTAGTACATTTTTCTCAATTTAAAATGCTAATGAAAAGTATATGTTGCCATTTAAAATTCGAAAGCTGCTAACAAAAAAACTAAGGTAGGAGGTGGTAAAAACCAAAAAAAATGGGAAAAACTGTTATCAAATTGTATAAAAACATAATGAAAAAAAATAATTTTTTTATTTAACTCTTTGGATTATTAAGTGGCCCACGATGAAAGAATCACCTGTATAGTGTTACTCTTACCGTTTCTCTAACACTATAAGTTCAAACCACCAGAAATACATGAGATGTGTTAATATTCATGGACTGGAATAAGTATCGTATCCCTCTTAACAGTTTTAAAATCGCGTAAAAAATGTTATACTTAGGACTATAATTTTTTTACATATTCACTATTAAAAATGTTTCATTGTAATAAGTTTTCAAATAACTAAAAATGTTTTTTTGTATTTTAGGCTGTGCGTCTGGAATAAAAAAAAGTATGTTTTTCATCACTTATTACTTTGTTTTATTTAATTTTGTTTGAACAATTGAATATGGTACCAAAAATATTCACGATAAAAACTAGTTTAATTTTGACGTCTTAAATGTCTTGTTCATTTATTTTGAAATGTTCGATTATGAATAATTCTATAATCGAATATCTTTGAAAAAATTTAAACATGTATGCACTGCAATATAAATTGTGTCATTATAAAACACATCGAACTTGACAAATAATTAACATCTTATAATAGAATTTTGATTCGATAATATGACAGACTTTACCTTTAAATTGGTTTAGTAAGATGTTAATAGTTATCATCAATAAGTTATGTATTAAGGCTCAAAGGTTAGTACAGTTGAGCGACTTTGATTAGATTACATAATTTTGTGCTCTTTTAAAATTGTACACTAATTAGTTTTAAATCATAATCTTCAAGTTATTTTTAAATACCTAATACTTTATTTGCTTGAAAGTTGGTGCAGTTGCCGGAAGCGTGGCGCGCGGACTCATTCCAGATTGCAAAGTAGGAGGTAGTCACTACTTATTTTCAAAAGATAATTTTTTTTAAACCAATAAAATTAACACTATTAGTTTGTTGATTCACTTATATAATCTAAATCATAACCCGTCGAACTCGTTTTTCTAACATGCAATTAGCAATTGATGAGATGTGTTAATATTCTTCTACCGGTATTAGAATAGTATCCCTCTGAACAGTTTTAAAAACCTGTAAAAAATGTTAAAATTGAGAGCTATCCTTTGCTTTCAATTTCACTAAAATAAATTGTTATTGTTAAATGTTCTCAAATAAATAAAAAACCTTTTTTTTTTTGTATTTTTAGCATATAAGAGAGATTGTGCATGTGGATATCATCAGTGCAAGTGCAAGCGTAAGTAAACGTCCCTTTTTCATAATACTTAAATTATTTTTTCCTTCAATGATAATTCATTGACCGCATCGTGGAAATGTTACATCGCTGACCGCGGCCCCGCCGTATTTCAGTTTAATAATATTATTATTATTGTCATTATATATTAAAATATTATATTTTAATATTTATTTTCATACATAATAATAATTTATAATAATAACGTATCGTATCGTGTTTAGAATATTATAAGAAATACAGTAAACAGGAACAGGAAGCTCATTCAAAAGAAATCAGGAAACATTTATCACCGGTAAACCAACCTAATTTTTATATAAATATATAACAATAAGAAATTAACAATTTTTTCTTCATATTGTTCTTATATAAATATATATTTTTTTGATAGTACTTTTTGAATTTTTTTATGTTATTTAAGTTTTAAGTTTAGGGCAAGAGGGAAGGTGGAGTTTAGTATTATTTTTATCTGCGCGGATTTACCAACCGCACTTCCCCTCTAAACCTAACTTTAAAACTCTACAAATTTAAAAATAGTTATCCGAAACTGGTTATCGACCAGTCAACATTTTTAGTAAATTATTCTCAATATAGAAAGTTAATTGAATAACGCATGTAACCATTTAAGTTTCAAATGTTGCTATCAAAGAAACTAAGTTGGGAGGGGGTAAAAACAAAAAAAATTATAAAAAATTAAAATCACATTGTATAACAACAATTTGAAGAAAATATTTAATTTCTTATTTAACCCTATGAGATATTAAGTGGTTCATGATAAAAGAATCACCCTGTATATTTATAGTTCTAATATTATAAAATAATATTTCTTAGGAAATTGAGGAAAAACTATTTCCACATGAAAAGCATACTACATAGGTAACATTATAAAAGTTAATTCTATTTAAGTTATGAATTATGAATTTTTTTTTTTTTGACAGAAAGGATCTAATGACAACAGTGCAAGTTACAAATATATATTTATATTCAGTTAAAAATACAGCTTGTCAATAAATATAAAAATACAAAATTAAATTGTGTAAACTATTACAAAACCAAAAACCTATTTTTCACAAAATTATAATAAACTTCTTTTATCTGGCAAATTTAAAATATGTTGTTTTGCATTAGTACAAGTTCAAACTTGGTCGCTATATTTTCACCCGTTATTATTATTGTAGCTTTGTTCAAGTACAATGTGTATATGATTTCTTCATCGTTATAGCCTATATCAACATTTTGCATAATTTCAAAGAGATTTGTCGAGATAATACGACGGATTAAATTTAAATATAATAATTGTTATTGGTTGAGGCGCTTTGAATGTGGCATGTTATCCTTTGGCAATTGATTTGGTGTGAAAACATAGTACGTAGTATAATCTTGAGAAAAAAGCAGCATGTACAAAGAACAGTGTTCATAATTCTTAGTAAACTGATTTCAAATACACAGTATCTTCTTAAAAATGAAAAAGTATAGGTAATAGACTAATTATTACAAAACAATAATTTCAAAAATATTAAGGATACTTCTTACTAATAACTCATGCAGAAAAATTAATAATTAATTGTAATAAATAAAGTAAAAATTAATAATTTTAACAGTGAATATTTAGAAAATTATCTTCTTCATCTTTGCCTTATACTCTTGTGATGCTTGGTGATGTATTAAGATCAAAAAGTATCTTGTTGTTCAATTTGAAACCAATTCAGGAAGATGGATTTAAAATAATTTAAGACTTTTTCAAAATATAAGTATAAAATTTATTGTATAGTAAAAGTGCGTAGACAACAGCTACATAAGTGTATTTAACATGAGTGTAATAATTCGTCTGGAATAGGCTTAGATCCTACTCCTATTTATATGGTTATGCTAATCTGTGTAATGTGTTATTGTGTGAATTGTGTTGACCCGATGGGCGGATGCTACAGCGAACGCTCATCGTATGATTATTTTAATTGGTATTATTTTGGCAATCTAATCTTATAGAATGGCAATAACATGTTTTTCCCAAATAGCTTATCAAAGCGGAACGGACTAAAGTAGTATTGATATATATATATTTGTAATATAATTCAATCACTACGCCAGATAACCATGCAGGTGCGCTCTGTAATAACCAGTAGTCATCTATCGTATAGGTATGCCAATGTATGACTCAGAGAGCTATTATAATATGAGTATTATTATGCTTAGTGTAGTTGGTTGTTTTGTGTAATGGTGTGTAGAGGTTAACTGAAGGTTATGTTCATAACACCTCCCCCGAAAGACGCAAGTTAGGCTTCTAAAGACTAACTTCGAACTAGACCAGCGAATTTTACAAATATTGCTAAGAATTTGAAAAATACATCATTAGTTAGTTAATCATTACATAGATAACATAAATAATTGAAAATAAACAATAATATGTGAATATAAAGAATGACAAATATGTAACAGTCATCTAATTTTACAATTGTAACAATATATAGTTAATTTGAATAATAAAGTTCATTAATAGTTTTGTGCAATTATTACATAATGTAATTGTGCTTACAATAAAATGTGGTTAATTAGTAAAACAAAAGAATACATAACATATACAAAACATAGTTATAATATGACAATTTCAAAATCATGACATAATTCATTTTTTTTTTTTGAAACATTCAAATGTACATAATATAATGTTAGTAAGTTACATATTGCAAAAGATAATTAAAGTTATACAAAAAAAATAATTAATTAAAACGTGTTAGTATAAGTATTGTAAATAACAATAGGTATATATATTAAAGTTAGTTTGATATAGATATATTGAGTTTGATAACTAATAAGTATTAATATTCATATAAACCGAATGTTCTAATAGGGTATTTTGGATAATACAATAAATGCACAGGTATATCTGTGTTCATAGCTAATACAACTAAACTCATACATTCATCTTTTGTGTTAACACACCCTGCTAAATGTTGGGCGGCTAACCTCAAGCTTATTTCTATTTCACTCAATTCCTCTGTGCTAAATAATTCACTACCTGATAGATGTAACATTTCATTAGCATCTTCTACTAACATTGATAAAGTTTTGTAAGTTTTAGTAATGTTATTTCTTAAGTTATATTTATGAGTAGGAACTGATATATAGATATCCTGATGGGTTAATTGTATAAAATTATTAAAATAAATATCATCTCTTTTCGTGACATCAGGTGATGTAGGAAAAGAAGGTCTATTGCAAATTCCTGACATTATGAATTCCTCAACTTGCATTACGAATTCTTCAGTGTAATACATTGATTTGAGTTATCTAAATATTATTGATTAATTATATTAAGTTATTATAATACAATTTTTTAGTAATAAAAATTAATTATTGTTTGCATATAGTGCAAAAAAATGATAATTAAAAGTAAAAATATACCTAATTCCAATCAATAAAATAAGTTAATCTAGTATGTAAATTAATAAAATATATATATTTTTTTTTATTATTTTTTATTATTTCTTATAATTTTTTTTTGTTTAGATTACGTTACTTAAATAAGGTGAAAAAAATGTGAAAATACTAAATTTATTATAAGTTAATATAAGTTAAAAAAAAAACGAATTTCTATTGTTCTTTACGGTAGCCTTTAACTACCGCAATAGGTCTAGGTGCTATTATATCATGATAAATCACCTGGCATAGTTTATAAAAAAGGAAACTTAACCTATATTCCGCAGGACTATGAACGATCTTCGCTGCCGAATCGACCTTATGGAATCGTGCAGAGCTGATATTCCATAGCGAACTGTTTAAATATTAAATTAAATGAGTAATTAAAATTTTACTTAAAGAACTTAAAAATTGTTAATCTTTTTAAATTAAAAACTAAGCGCAATACCAATATAAAATTAATTAATATTAGTACTTTTTATTAAATATTATTATTAAGTTCATCTAATATATCTCCCAAAAACATGCCCTGTACAATTAAGGTATCAATAGTTCTTGCAACTGTGTTACAAACTCTATTAATATCTCTTGTATCTACTACATCTCGAATAAAATCTAGAATTGGGCCAATTGTGTTATTTAGCTCCTCCTCAGTAAAAGGATTATCTATTAAAGCATTAGCCAATCTTACATGGTTTCCTAAACATGTTAATGTAACGAAATTTCCGTTTGAAACTGTAAAATGGTCTTCCGTATCCATTGCTATTTTTAGAGCTACAATGAAACTAATTGCTCGTGAGCGATTCATAGTGATGGTTGAATATGTAATTTTTTAAAATTAAAAGAATCTGATATACATATATGATAAAATTAAATTAAATAAAAATTAAAATAAAAAGTTAAATAAGAAGTTAAATAGTAATTTTTTGTTTTGTTAATTAAAGCAAGTTTCTCAATAATGCACACCAAAGGTCTACATGTTCCTGCCTATAAGTTGTTTCTATTATGGTTCTACTCATCATGGAACTATTTAATTCTCCATAAAATTCTGTCATCATTACTGTTAAAGCCTTTTCGAATTTATTAAGATTAGTTATAGGGTAACCATGTCTTAGTTGGTTATTAGTTTCAAGAATTATTTGGTTATAAGTTTTGTTTGATCGACGAAGAAGATCTTCGTAAGCAATTTTAATGAATAACTTAAAGAAAGATATTTCTTTTAAACTATAATGTAAAGCCATTAGTTAATTAAATTAACTTACAGTATTTGGATAGAACAGTGAATACTCAAATGGTTTTTTTTTTTTTTTTGACTGATAGATATGAATATCTGAAATAATTAGTACTTATTATAACTAAAGTATATTATAAATATGATTAAAATATAACTTATTAAAATTTTATTGTTATATAAATAAAAGTGTTACTTAAATATTAAATATGTTAATTAAACTAAGCTTTGTAATAAAGTATATAAAGGTTGGATATATTCTGGTTTTGAAGCCAAAACAACAATGCTCATACTCATTACAGATCTTTCTATATTTCCAAATATTCTCTCAAATAATTGTTTTAAATTTGTTTCGAATTTATATAGTTTATCCACTGGATATCTATGTGGTAAAAGATACATTATTTGACAAAGAGTACAAGTTTTTATATAATTACGTACGTCTTGTTTTAAACCTCTCCAAGAAAACTGTTTACTAAGTCGACGTGACGTTCGAGAAACACCTTGATGACCTCCGATTAAAGAGTCATGAAATTGTTTAATTAAAATTAATTTCTCATCATCTGAATATTCTGAGTCAGTACAGATTAATATTTCAATCTCTGTACCGCGAAATATAAATCTAATCATTGACCTTATATGATCCCATTCTAAATTATCATGTTGACTTAATTTATTCATTACTAGTTTAATTAAATTATTTTCTTCACAAAATTGTTTTAAATTAGTTAATGCAATATAAATATTCTCGAAAGTTGATAATTGTTTATCTCTGTTTTTTGTAACTATGAACAAAATAAATCTATTATCGAGTTTAAAGTAATTGATATCACCAATAATCTTACTAGGTGGTAATAATTGATTTTGTGCGAATTTTTGTTTTAATTCATAGTTTAAACCAGTTTTAAAATTATATTGTTTTGCAATTTCTGATACTATATGATAATCAATAGGTGAATCAATTAGAGTCCCTACTGTTTCTTTTACATTGTTATTAGTTATTATAACCGTTTTCATTTTTTCAAGAAAAGTATCATAATTTTCTTCCCTTAACTGAGATATTGTATACATTCTGCTTAAAGCATCTACGTTTGAATTTTGGACACCTGGCTTATAACGAATTTCATATGAATATTCTTCAAGTTGTATACGCCAGCGAGCAAGTTTTGATAATGGATTCTTTAGATTAAATAACCAAACAAGCGGTCGATGATCTGAATAAATAATAAACTTCCTACCGTATAGATAAGGTCTAAATTGTGTTACACCATAAACAATGGCGAGACATTCGAGTTCTGTTGTACTATAATTATTTTCCGCTTTGTTTAAAGTTCGACTTGCATAAGCAATT